TCAATATTGCATTTCAAAACATCACGGGGCATGATTGAGGAGGTATTAGTGAACATTCGGATCTCGCGTAGGTCATCCCTATGTATGTTCGCATGGTGGGTCGATGATGGGTCGATAAAAATATGACGACGTGGTGACTACGGTAAAAATTGACTGAAATGAGAATATTTTTTCCACAAAAATTCACTAATTTCAGTCCTTCGATTGTATAATGTTTCGATGTAGGAATTGAGATTGTTGTGGGAAGATTTAATTCACTAACAAATGCGATTACGTTAATTAATCACAGTATATTTACACGGCGTTTAAAGGTATATACAAAAGTAAAGAAAAGGTGCGATCCGGTAAGAGGTTCGCAACATCACAACCGACTGTTGTCTGAGGTGTCTCCCGATTCGCAGGACACCCAGATTCTATAAACGGAAGACATCAGAAATATACACGTGACACGATGAGTGCGAGTGAGACGGCGCGAGGGATTTCGTACTCCTGTCAATCATGTTCTCTCGGTGTCGGTGGTCAGCGCATGTATGTGTATGAATGTGTATGTAGCGAGCCGTTACATCGATTCAATTGAAAATTGTCGGAATTGAAAAGTTCCTGGTTTTCAGTAATAATCTCTGGATCTGTGGTTCCTCACAGTGTGATGAAAAATAATATACTTGATTCAAGTATATTCTATACTCAATTCAATTTTGTTTTCGTGAAGAATAAGTGTAAATAAATTGTGAAAATATATTTTAAATTTGAAGTGAGTTGTTATTAATTCTTCATTGACTTTTTACTCCTTGAATTTCCAACAGTTTCCGTAAAGAAAATTGTTTTTTACGAAGCTAAACAAAGGGTCACTGCATTGATTGGTGCACCTTCTACGTAATCCAGTGCATATCATACGCCCCGTGTTTTTTATCCACCACGGGATGAGCGTTAGAATGGGAAGCATAATTTAAAAATCTCCACCGTTATTCGCTGCGATGTGCTACCTGCGGCAGAATGTAGAGAAGAATAGAGGGAAATTTGAGTTAGAAGCGAGGAAATAATGAAAGTCATAACCGTTTTTTTTATGACCGGTCATATTCGACGGAATTTTTAATATCCAAATGGTGGTTTCATTCGACTGCTTGTGATTTTAATATCCCGGG